ACACATATATTATAATTCAAGTTTTTCACACATTCCTTCTATGTACCTCCTCTACTCCTACTAAAAAAGTGTTCGAAATGGTAGATGGAGACACAATGTGACAAATGTATGAAAAATATCATAATTCTCAGAAAGTGAACAAGATAGCAAATATGTATTCAACAGCGCATCTCTGCAAAACAAACTGGCGTGTGCATAAAGCACAAGTAGAACCAAGAGGTACCCCCCCCCCCAAAAAAAAAAAGAAATAATAGCAGATATATTTAAGATAATACTTAGTTTTGTCACATTGACAGTTCCCTGCAACTGGTGCAGCTGGCGATTCTAGATAGATACATTTTAATCCTTCGCTCTCAGTCCCGTTGGTCCTGACATATTAGATTGGAAACCCGTCCCCAAAGTGATCTAAATTGTGTCGGTAGGGGCGTAAAAACACTTGAAATTAAAGTGCTCGATAAATAAATTGTGGTACAATGGGGTTTTCGATGAAAATGAGACCCCCCCCCCCCCAAAAAAAAAAAAAATTTTTTCAAATAAAAAATCATAGGAGTGGCTATTTGAGTTTTCCATCTGGAAGCTCCTGACTTCAGCAAAACTGTTACGTCCTCCGCCAGGTATAGGAGAGAGATGGTCGGTCACACTTGGTATGGTGAGTCTCCAGTTTGGTAAGTGTTACCGTGCTCGCAACTGCATATTATTTTATAATCAAGAACATGAGAACGCGGTTGGTATTCAAGGCATGCTGACTTAACTTAACAAACGAACTGAAGCCGTCTTCCTTTCATGTAAAAGGTTTACAGTACGAAGGTTGCGATTTTCACGTCGCACTCAAACAAAAATGTCCGCCTAGATTGTTCTTCTTTTTTTTTCTTTTTTTTTTGCCTTTTTGTGTTTGAGTTTGAGTTTCGTCTTGTCAGACTGATTCCATCCAGCGTGCGTCATTAAACATGTCAGCTTAATTAACTCGTTGGTGACGTAGCGGACACATAATATGATGATAATTATGTCCAATCATCAGCAGACCAAAGATCATGTTGCAGCACTTTTAGAACCATCATCAGAAACACGAATTGCATATTTCACAGTATTCCTGCCTTTTTAAAAAACGTTATAGGTAAAGTAAACAGGTGAAACATCTGTAAGAACAAAAGAAGTTAATATTGTGCTTCTTTTTGAAAGTGCCGCTAAAACAGGGCATTCTCAAGCGTTGTCGAAGGACCAGAATTGGCGTTCTGGGTGAGTTAATAGCGAGGTGAGGTCCTGTTGCCTTCTGGAATCTGTGTGTAACTCCCTTGAAACTGAAGGTCTTTATTTTACGTAACCTCAATCATGTCGTTCGGTTGACGACAAGCACGCCGATGACCAGCGGGTGATGAGAGTAAAGCCTCCTTGTTTCATACGAAATGGTACAAGTCTCAAACAGCCCAGGGCATGTGTCAGCAAGTTGAGAGAAGGAACGAAGGCAGCAACGGTGACGAAAGTATTACATTAATAAGAGTTTCTCGAAAGTACATTTTCGCGATCTTAGTGGCTACATGTCCAATATCTCTTGCTGCTTCGGCTACGTAACGCAGAAAAAAATTCGTCTTGGTTCAGAAGAGAACTTTCTGCCTACGTTCTCGAAAGGCGAAATAATAATAATTTAGCTTTTACACATGTTTGATCCTTCCTTTGGTATATCGAAAATGCACTCTTCTTTACACTTCTCGTTGGTTGCGCCATATCCAATCACCAATTACTTATGGTTGTGTAAGGGCCTGCTAAAGATGAATGATAATATAATACTTCCCAGGTACAGATGAAAGCCAGCGAATTGACTTCAAGTTATCCACCTAAATGCTCAGATAAGTATAAAGCACGCCAGCAACTGAGGTGTAAGGTGAATATAACCTCCTACTGCTCCTTTTGTTCTTTGATTGTGCTGTTAACACTTAAAGGACGCGGTGAACACATAATATGTCATATCATCAGCAGACCAGAGGTGATGCTGCGGCAGATTTCAAACCATCATACACAAATCAGAAAAATGAATGTGCAGAGTACGCCTGCCTTTTTACGTTTCAGATGAAGGAAACACAATTGAAAAAGCTGCAAGAATAACGACGTTGAGCTCTTTTTTTAAGAGCTACGAACCAACCAGTCTTCATGCGTTGTTGAAAAACCCAGAACACTCGTCCTCAATGAGTTAAAAGTTAAGTATCAAGGCTATTAGCGTGGGGAAAGAGTTACACGTAATTACGCGGCTTTTAACTTAGCCATCCGTCTCCTCTCTGCCTCCGCCTCGGCCGCAAGCCTGTTTGCCCTGATCTGATCGTAGCGCTCTATTTGCTTGTAGAAGGGAATGAGATGCGCCTCGACAGGGGGCGCTGGCTCCTCCACCACTTCGAAAGGCGCGGTGATCACCTTGGCCGGAGGCGTCAGGATGAGATCTACGGTCTTCAGGATATCCAGACGTCGGATCTTCCTCAGGGCTTGGCGTAAGTCCTCTACGCTGCTGCGAGTGTGGTAGCGGCGCCACCGGTCTAAGGCCCGCCTCGCCACCAGGGCGTAGGCTCCTCGAGCGCCCCCTTGCGTCAGGTCCACGATGTCCTGGCTGATGGTCTCCGAGCCGCGGATAGGATGGAAGGGCAGTGCACGGTACAGGGCGGTCCAGTCGCGCTCGATGCGCTTGCAGATGATGGCGCATGCGCGGTCGACAGGGTCTGGGGGGGGGGGAGACAAACGGAGGGAGTTACCGTACTTGTGAGATTTTTCCGAAGATGAGATAAGATGAGGTGAGGTGAGGTGAGGTGAAGTGAGGTGAGGGAAGGTGAGGTGAGGGAAGGTGAGGTGAGGTGAGGTGAGGTGAGATTGAATGAGATGAAATGAGATGAGATTTATCTATATTATTGTCCATACGCCACATAATAATTTGATCTTGTCAAATCCTTTTGAAAGCAGATCGCTTCTTTTAAAGTAGGACTTTGTGGTCAATTTGACCATTCAAGAAAAAACAAACAGAATGAAGTCTTAACTCTTCATAACCAATAGTGCTCCTAACACTGGTGCCTGGAGACGAACACTAAGTAATATAAACTAATACATTACATAGACAACTAATTGTGACAAAAAAATCACCAGTTGGAGGCTTCAGTCCAAAAAGAGTCTCCGATGATCTCCCATCACTCATGTATTATTACGACAACACTTTACCGGGCACTGATTAACGTGAGGCAGTAGATTATCCACACCAGAGACATTGAGATTAAATAACTAACTGAAAACAAAGAATCAGATATCCCTAAGAAAGCAGAACACCACAGACGAAAATATAACATTATCACCAGTTAAGCCCCCCCCCCCAAATCCCAAGGGAAAAAATGTGTGTATAGTGTTTTACATGAATACATTATGTAAAAGAATACACATACATCACTTATCCCATTTACTACCCATACAAATGTCTAATACCCCCAAAAAAAGAATAGTATTGCATGTGACATGAAATAACAAGCATAGTCTTAATCCCTCAGATCCTCAAACTGTTTACCGTCGACATTCACTCACTCCTCGAACAACTTTACTGATTTAAGTATTCTAACAATGGTTGACAATTGGCTGAGAACAGCAAGGACGACAAACACTATCGCTGCAATGAAAGACAGGGTGAAGTGGAGGTCCATGATCGCCCACACCAGCCAGCAAGGCACTGGATGATGATTATTATAACAATGGTTTTATTTTCAACTGCTATGCTTAGGCTATTTTTGCACCCCCTGTTTATCACCGAATTGAAATAAACCAAGAAAAATAAATGGTCACTTTTAAGGACAAGCGGTCTAACCCAGAATTCGGGGGTTTCCAGAAATCTTGACCTACACCAAATGTGGGCATTGCCCTACGTATAGGAGAAGTTTTGTTTTATCGGTGAGTATATTTATATTTTGTTTGGTTACAGAGAAAACTCTCCTTGTCTTTTAAAGAAACTGAACAAGAGGCAAAAACTTTACCTTCGATTTTCTCAAAACAGCATTTTTCGGGATAGCCCCCTTGTGCTTAAAAGCGACCACGTAATTGAAATAAATTTTTTTACAAATTTCTACCTGCAATATTTCCTTCCTCCTTGGACTTGACAACTCTGGCCGCCCGAGCCGCCATGGGCACTTTGTAGTAAAGTTTCTCCACAGAGTCGCTGGCAGTCTTACACATGAGCACTCTCTTTGCCACGTCCACAGCACGCTCCACCTCCGAGTATTCCTTCTCCCGACGGGCTCGGTCGATGTCAACCTGGACACAAGAAAAGATTGTTTCGTATATTATTACCATTATGTTGTTGGGAAAAATCCTTGGTATCTCATACAAAGATCACATCACAAATGATAAAGTCAAACAACGAATCAAAAATGCAATTTGGCCATATGCTGACCTCACTCTGGTCAGGAAACGCAATGTGCAATGATATGGACACATCACATGTTCATCTGGCCTTGCCAAGATGATCCTGCAAGGCAGAGTCCAGGGAAAAAGGAGCAAAAGCAGACCGAAGAAGAGTTGGGAGGACAACATTAAGGAATGGACAGGCCTGGACGTCAAAGTAAGTCAAAGACACTCTCAGGAAAGCTGAAGACCGGAAGGAGTGGAGAAAGCTGGTGGTCAAATCTTCAAAAGCGCTCAGACGGACACCCGTTGTACTCATACAGCTGATGATTTAAGAGAATCTCTATGGTTATAAAAAAAAGTTTTGCCAGAGTTAGATTTCGTTATTATGAGAAAGCTCATTGACACAATAACGGCTATAATAATGCGAGGACAAGACAAGACAGACAGACAGACAGACTGGAACAATAGACGACTTTCTTTTTATCTAAAATTAAAGTATAATCCTAACTGGTAGACGCTAGTGGGTGAGAACAAAGACAGTATTCGAGAGCCAAAACAAAAAAAGTAAATACCTGTTCGTTTGAAGAGGAAAAATATAGTATTAAGGATATCGATCGCGATCAAGAGTGGAGCTCAAACATAGATATCGTGCTATAGAGGCTACATTTTCAAAACTACTGTCTTATAATGAAGAGAGCATCTTAACCAGACAATGATTGTATCAAACAGCGATCTGGACTGAAATAAATCAGCATTTCACCAAGAGAGAATACGAAAAAAAAAAAAAAGATAAATGAATGAATGGAAGGACACATCACAAAATTGCCCATGTAGTGTGAATGATACCTGTTTGAGTTCCCGTTTGGTTTCCAGCATGCCGTGAGAGAGGCGGTCGAGAGCTCCCATCTTGTCGTCGATCCAGGTCCGCTTGAGGCGAACGGCGGCGATCTGACGGGCCAAGAGTGGAAGCTTCTCTTTCAGCGCCTGCGGTGGTGGTAGTGAGAAATATGTGAGATCGTAGTTCATTGATTTGTTTGACAGGAAAACGAAAACAGAGAAAATATTAGTTGTCGTTTACTGCTTTAAAAAGTCAAAGAGACAACAAAAAAAGAAAGAAAGAAAAACTACGTAAGAAAAAAAGATAGACACGAAGGATCAGTTGGCTTCCTAC